AGCAGGAATCTAGTCTGGATGACTGCTTCTGGAGCCTGGATGCAGTACCATTCTTCACTGACTCAGTGAGTAAACTGTTAGGTGGTCTCCTAAGAGTACAGATTTTTCATCACTGAGCTGATCCTGGCCATCCATTCTGTTATCCTTGGCTGTCTTTCAGACTTGACTTTATTTCTAAAAAGATTTCAGTGAGTCATATCATAGATTTTTATTTTCAAATTAAGGTAACATTTCCCTGGTAGTAATACTAGTGCTGTTTGATTTTTATAGCTGACTTGATGGAGCTGGACATGGCCATGGAGCCAGACAGAAAAGCGGCTGTTAGTCACTGGCAGCAACAATCTTACCTGGACTCTGGAATCCATTCTGGTGCCACTACCACAGCCCCTTCTCTGAGTGGTAAAGGCAATCCTGAGGAAGAGGATGTGGATACCACCCAAGTCCTGTATGAGTGGGAGCAGGGATTTTCTCAGTCCTTCACTCAAGAACAAGTAGCTGGTAAGAGTATTATTGCCTTACTGAAAGTCAGAATGCAGTTTTGAGAATTAAATAGTTATTCTAATAAAAGTTAGTGTATAATAGCTTAAATAAAGTGGTGTGGTAAAGAGAAGGGAGTGATTGCGATATCACCTTGACTGTTTAGGATAGCAAATACTTGGTGAATGCTGAGCTATGGATAGTGAGTGTTGAATTTACCTTTTCCAGATATCGATGGACAGTATGCAATGACTCGAGCTCAGAGGGTACGAGCTGCTATGTTCCCTGAGACATTAGATGAGGGCATGCAGATCCCATCGACGCAGTTTGATGCTGCTCATCCCACTAATGTCCAGCGTCTGGCTGAACCATCACAGATGCTGAAACATGCAGTTGTAAATTTGATTAACTATCAAGATGATGCAGAACTTGCCACACGTGCAATCCCTGAATTGACAAAACTGCTAAATGATGAAGACCAGGTAAGTAGTGACATGGCTAGCTTTTTAATCTGCTTTGAAGGAAACTCCCAAGGAAGTAGTCTTATAATATCTACCCAGTATCAGTATTTGAAAACTGGAAAATGACGTCTCTTAATTCCTGTACATTATAGGTGGTGGTTAATAAGGCTGCAGTTATGGTCCATCAGCTTTCTAAAAAGGAAGCTTCCAGACACGCCATCATGCGTTCTCCTCAGATGGTGTCTGCTATTGTACGCACCATGCAGAATACAAATGATGTGGAAACGGCTCGCTGTACTGCTGGGACCTTGCACAATCTTTCCCATCATCGTGAGGGCTTGCTGGCCATGTTTCCGTCTGGGGGCCTTGTTGCCGTGGTGCCGATGCTTGGGTAAGAAAACATGGTCAGAATGCTCCAAGCTCAGAAGGAGAAGAGTGCAATCGCAACATTTCTGATGAGACTTTTTTCTTCTTCCCAGTTCACCAGTGGATTCTGTATTGTTTTATGCCATTACAACTCTCCACAACCTTTTACTGCATCAGGAAGGAGCTAAAATGGCAGTGCGTCTAGCTGGCGGGCTGCAGAAAATGGTTGCCTTGCTCAACAAAACAAATGTTAAGTTCTTGGCTATTACAACAGACTGCCTTCAGATTTTAGCTTATGGCAATCAAGAAAGCAAGGTAAAAGAATTGTACTGAATGTGGTTGTCATGGAGCGTGGGAGACCCCCAATGTCATGTCCTTCTGTGGATTTTGGCAAATTCATTGTATGCCTCACCCTTTGTATGTATCCTAGAAAAGTTGGACGTCTCTATTTAAATACTTGAGTTGTCAGTATGTAATGCACTAATGCTAGGTGGTAGGGATATAGCATGCAAGCTTCTCTTAAAGCTTTCATTCTTGGGTGGAAGAGAGACACTGAAATAATACCCTAATTACTATTTAATTCGTGTGTTAGGAGGAAGTAAAGGGGCTATGAGAGCATGTAAATGAACCAGACCCTCTTTTGAGGGTTCAAGCAGACTTCTTGGAGAAAGTGATAGTTGAGTTTAGCTCTTAAGGATAAGATGGGATTGATTAAAGGTGAATGAAGGTTAGGGAGATGGCATCTTTGACAGTTCTGCTGAGGGAGGAGCAGGGCAAGATTTGGAAATTCAAGAAATGCAAAGAGTAAGGAAGAGGAAGTGTGTGAGGTGAGACTGTTGAGATAGGGCAGATCCTGCAGGGCTTAGTGGAACATCTTAAAAGAATAATGGGAAACAGTTTTTAGCAGAGGCCTGAAGTGATGAGATGTGTTTTCAGAAGATCGGGGTAGAGTCAGGAGGTGGGGGTGTGTGGGGGAGTAAAGGGCAAGAATGACTATTTTATGCTGTCTCTTTTTGAGGTGGTTATGGTTAGGAATAGCAAAGAGCCAGATCATTAAGAGTTTTTAAGTGCCCATTCTGGTTCACATTTTCACTCAGCATTGGCTTTGATGTAACTTGTGTATCTGGGCATTACTGTTTCATACCAACACGGTGTTTGGTTGTTTTTGTTTTTCCTTTCACTATGATCAATCAGTGTGGGAAGAAGAAATTTGGGCCAGAGTTTATATATTTTTGGGAGGACTGGGGTGCATGAATTTGAGTGAAATGTTGTACAAGGAGGGGTTAAATAGGGCCCCAGTATGGGGGTCTAGCTAATGACGACCAGGAATATATTTAAGTCATTAAGCTGGCTGAAATTCTTGTATAATAAAATAGGTTGGTAATAGTAGTTTTTCTCAGGCATTTGATCAAGATTCCATGACTAACAATATATACACATCTTTCTAGCTGATCATTTTGGCTAGTGGTGGACCTCAAGCTTTAGTGAATATAATGAGGACCTACACCTATGAGAAACTACTGTGGACCACAAGCAGAGTACTGAAGGTGCTGTCTGTCTGCTCTAGTAATAAGCCAGCTATTGTAGAAGCTGGTAAGTATACTTGTCTATATTCTGGGTTCTCATGTTTGCAGCACGTGTAGTTCTAAGTAGATTACCTTTCTTAGGAAAAGGGTGATAGAACTGACCTTAACAGGCTGAAAGTAGATGGTCCTGTTCAGTTTGAAGCCAAAGTTGCATTCAGACAAAGTGTATGTTCTGCTAGACACCTTCTTTGGTGCTGTTCAAGCCTAGTTTAGGCAGTGTTCATATTACCCATCAAAAATGATGGCTAGGGGCTTCTCTGGTGGTGCAGTGGTCGAGAGTCCGCCTGCCGATGCAGGGGACACGGGTTCGTGCCCGGGTCCGGGAAGATCCCACATGCCGCGGAGCGGCTGGGCCCGTGAGCCATGGCCGCTGAGCCTGCGCGTCTGGAGCCCGTGCTCGGCAACGGGAAAGGCCACAACAGTGAGAGGCCCGCGTACCGCAAAAAAAAAAAAAAAAAAAAAAAAAAAAAAAAAAAAAAAAAAAAAGGAAAAGAAAAAAAAAAAAGATGGCTAATACGTGGCTTGATAACAGCTATTCCAGAAATACCTGGAATGCGTGCAACAAATACAGATTTTTAGACTTATTTAATCAGAATCCCTGGAGTGTTGAGGTGACAAGAGAGTCAGTAGGTAGCTGGAAATGTATGGGACTGGAGGCCTGGGAATCTTGATTTTTAGAAGTTCCCTAGGTTATTCTGATGCTCATTTGTTTATTCTGAAAATATTCAGCCCCTGTGTTTCAAGCACTGTAATAAGCACATGGTATACAATGGATAACAAAATAGGCATGGTCCCTGTATTTATTCTTATAGGTGGTGAAGGTGACAAAAATATGCAAAAAGATGGAGTGATCACATTGGAATGAATGTTACAAGAGAAATGAACAGCAAGCAAATAGTGATACAGAATTAATGGGGAGGGAAGGGGCTTCCCTGAGAGGGGGATGTTAAGTGAAATTGCAGAATGAGAAGGTGTAAGCTGTATGAGAAGGAATAAGTGCCTTCCAGATGGTCCTGAAGGTAGGAAAGAAATTGTTGAGTTCCAGGTACTGAAGAGAAAGTCTGTGTAACTAGAACCTAGTGAGTAATGGGATGAATAGCTCAGGATGAGGGTAATGAGCTAGAGCCAGGCAGGGCTATATTGTGCAGGAGTTTCTAGGTCCCTGGAAGATGTTTATTCATGCTTTATTCCAGCTTTGGAAACACAGGTGTAGAATGCTTAGGTCAATTTGAAATACTTGGTGGGATCCAAATCCTAAAGGGCTCCTGAAGGTTATGCTAAAGCATTTGGCCTTTATCTTTCTTTTTTTTAAAAAGTTAATTATTTATTTTTGGCTGCGTTGGGTCTTCGTTGCTGTGCGCGGGCTTTCTCTAGTTGCAGCGAGCGGGGGCTACTCATCCTTGCGGGGCGCGGGCTTCTCATTGCGGTGGCTTCTCTTGTTGCGGAGCATGGGCTTTGGGTGCGTGGGCTTCAGCAGTTGTGGTCCAAGGGCTCAGTAGTTGTAGCTCACGGGCTCTAGAGCACAGGCTCAGTAGTTGTGGCGCACAGGCTTAGTTGCTCTACGGCATGCGGGATCTTCCTGGACCAGGGCTTCAACCCGTGTCCCCTGCATTGGCAGGCAGATTCTTAACCACTGCACCACCAGGGAAGTCCCTGGTCTTTATCTTATAATGAGAAGCTATTGATGGCTGCTGAGCAGTGGTACAGCATCACAGTGAGGTGTTGGGGATATTAATACGAGCATCGTATGACAGTTCGAATGACCAAAGGCAAGCAGACCAGGCCACTGGGATGTGTTACAGGCTTCTAGGAATGAAGTCCTTAGATATTAAAAATACATAGCAAAGGATGAATGTTATCTGAGTTGACATATTCAAAGTGACTAAAGATCAGTAGGTAGCTGGCGATGTATGCTATTGGAATGCAAGGGAAGACTGGGCTGGGATAGAGATTTGGGAGTTGCCCTCCTAGTGTATGTGAGTAAGGGCTACAGGGAAGAGGCGGGGGTGCCTCCAAGCCATCTGCACCAGACTTTTACCCTGGGCATGCTGAATCAGAATGTGTGAGTTTAAGTCTCTCAGGCTATTCTGAGAGGCATCTGGAACTAAGATCCACTCTCTTCAACAGTGGAGGGAGGGAGTGAGATCTGAGGGGAATCAAGGTTTTTCTTTCCTAAATATAATTTTACTTAAAAAAATTTTTATTTATTTATTTGGCTGCGCCAGGTCTGAGTTGCGGCACGTGGGATCTTCGTTGCTGTGTCGGGGATCTTTTAGTTGTGGCATGCGGGGTCTTGAGTTGCGGCATGTGAACTCTTAGTTGTGGCACGTGGGATCTAGTTCCCTGACCAGGGATCGAACCTGGGCCCCCTGCATAGGGAGCATGGAGTCTTAGCCACTGGACCGCCAGGGAAGTAGTATCAGCCTTGTGCTCTCTGTTAGCAGCTGGAGCTCCTATGAGGAATGAACCAGATAGGGATGATCTTGTCTTACTGTAGGGGTGGTAGGCTAAATTATAGTTGTGATAAATGCTGTGAAGGGAAAAGTACAGGGTGCCGGGAGAATTATAGCAAGTAGACCTAACCTAATTGAGGAAATAAAGCAGACCTGAAAAGATAAACAAGGAGACGAGGGAAAGTACATCCCACTGCATTTAGAAGTGATGTCAGTAGGAGAGAGATGGTAAAGTTAAGCCAGTGTGCGGGGAGTTGAGCTTCCATTTAGACCCCTCTGCCAGTGTAAACGTCCTTCATTAGGGTCCTAAAATGATGGAAGGTTGTGAAACTTTGAAGCACATCTTTTGAGTCAGTGTCTTTTATACAGTCCCAGACATTAAGCGTTCTGGTGCCTTCTTTCTGGATTGTTCTCACCCCATGAGTTTACATAACTCCTTCAGGTCTTTGCTCAGATGTCACCTTCACACTTAGGTGACCTAATTACCCTACTTAAAAATGTAGCCCCCTCCTTTGTCTTCTGTTATGTTTTTTGGTAGCACTTAACACCATTTGACACACTGTATAGTTTTAGTTTACTAGTTGTGTATTTGTTTATTGTCTGCCTCCAAGTAGACCATGAGCTCTGTGCAGGTGGGAATTTTAGACTGTTCTGCTCACTGGTATAGCTCCAACTCAAAACAGGGCCTGGTATTAAATATTTTTGAAATAACTGGATGAAGGGAAATAAGTAATAGGAATATTACCTACAGGGGGACTGTGGAGAGAATGAAGGCTTTTTCCCCACAGGGGAGGAACAATGGATATTTGACAGAAATTGTCACTAGGTGAGATGAACTGGAAAAGAAAGGGAAACTGAGCAGCATTGTAGAAAATGAAAGGAAATAAAGGACTTCGATGGAGGGGATAAGCTTGGGCAATAAAGAGGGACACCTTCTAAGACTAGAGAAGACACTTTGTACTGATACGACTTGTGAGCTAATAGCCATCGCCTTAGATATTTTTTAATCTTTTTAGGTGGAATGCAAGCTTTAGGACTTCACCTGACAGATCCAAGTCAGCGTCTTGTTCAGAATTGTCTTTGGACTCTGAGGAATCTTTCAGATGCTGCAACTAAACAGGTAAATTCTGAGTAAACTGGTGCCTTAATGAAAAGAGTCAAGCTGAATATGTCCTGAGCGTCTGTTTTCATCTCCATAGGAAGGGATGGAAGGTCTTCTTGGGACCCTTGTTCAGCTTCTGGGCTCAGATGATATAAATGTGGTCACCTGCGCAGCTGGAATTCTTTCTAATCTCACTTGCAATAATTACAAGAACAAGATGATGGTGTGCCAAGTGGGTGGTATAGAGGCTCTTGTGCGTACTGTCCTTCGTGCTGGTGACAGGGAGGATATCACTGAGCCTGCCATCTGTGCTCTTCGTCATCTGACCAGCCGACACCAGGAAGCTGAGATGGCCCAGAATGCTGTTCGCCTTCACTATGGACTGCCAGTTGTGGTTAAACTCCTACATCCACCATCCCATTGGCCTCTGATCAAGGTAAATTGTCAGTGAAAGTAGAAGGTTGCAGAATTGAAAATGAACTACCTCTGACTACTATTGGATGGCTGTCTAGGCACCAGGGATTGATAAGTAGGAGTTGTATTCTTTAGTAAACAGGAAGTATGTCTGGGATGGAGGTGAGGGTTTGAAGTGTTTCTGTAGTCAGTTTTACTTTCAGGTGACTGTGATAGATGTAGTGTGTTAGGAATTTTAGGGTAAGAAAATGGTTTTGTTGAGTTGTTTGCCAGTTCTTTACTCTTCCTTCTTTTCTGCAGGCTACCGTTGGATTGATTCGAAATCTTGCCCTTTGTCCCGCAAATCACGCACCTTTGCGTGAGCAGGGTGCCATTCCACGACTAGTTCAGTTGCTGGTTCGTGCACATCAGGATACCCAGCGCCGTACATCTATGGGTGGAACACAGCAGCAGTTTGTGGTAGGTAAATCTTAATAATGACATCTTGCTATTTAAAAGGAATGCAAAAATCCATAAGATCCTGAACTACTGAGGGCATTGGCTCCCTCCATCCTCCTCCCTGCCTGAAGGGCTGCTTGCTACTGACTAAAAAAACTGACATGTCTCTGTGGCTGCATAGAAGATAAGGAGTAATGTGGCCCCTAGTGGTATGTCCTTTGACATGTCCTTAACATCGTTGCCTCCTCAATCGTACAAAGGGGGTGTGGAGTGTGATTTACTGCTTTGGGGTCTCATTTAATCCATACAAAAGGTTCACATCCTTAGGAAGTAGCAGAGCCATAATTTGAAACCAAGTCCGTCTGATTTCAGAGTCTCTTATCCCCCACTGCAGTTCTACCTATAAATGTTTAACGTACCTTCTACTAGCTCTTCCAAGAGTGGTTTAAACTATTTCCCTGGACTTAACGAACGCCAACAAATTACAAGACTAAGTAGTAGCATTTCTGGGATCTTTACCTATAATCTTAGCCTGAGACTTTGATGTCAAGTTTGCAGTCTTAAAACTAGCTTCATTACAAGTATCTAAAGACACTTCTGATTCCTCAGAATGTGTTTTAAGACTCAGACCTTCAAAGATTCTCTCTTATTTAATCAGGTTACTTTAGAGAACAAGACTTTACAAGAACAGATCTTGAGACTCTGATTGCTAGTTGTGATATGGATGCACTCATTAGGAGGCTTTGCCTTTCTCTATTCATTACTTTTGGTGTTGGCCTGTCTCCATGAGGTGGCTTAATAGAATGCAAAGGGTACCTTTTAAAATCTCTCTAGGAAGAAAGGAGCTTTTGTGTCCTCATAAAAATGAAGTTGAATATAAAAGCTGCTGCAAGTAGCAGAATTATGACCTTTTTAAAAACTCAGATAGAGGGAAAGCAGATTGTAGTTATATTTTGCAAAAGCTAACTTCCTTCTCCCGTATAGGCTATCAGTTGAAGAGTCTTGGAGGAGGTGAGTGGATTTTCTGCTGGCAGCTCAGTAGAATTTTAGCAGTTGGTGATAAAACTTGGCTAAGTTTTCACCAAATACACATAAATGTACAAAGACAGAGGGAGCATCTGAAAGAGAACACTGACATAGTCTGCACGTTGCTTTCCCATCTTTGTGTACCTTTTCTTTATATATTCCTTTACCCAGAGTGATGGGTGCCCTGACTGTAAGAAAGTTATCTTTGGGATTCAGAGGTATATTGAAGCTGTGCTTTGCTGTGCACAGTACCGTGATGGGGGAGGGGTGCCGCTTGGAATTAGTGCCGACAAGAGGCCACTTTCAGAAAGGGATGACATTCAACTGAATGGAGTCCACCTTCATTCCTGAACTAATTAATTGCAAATTCGGGGGAACTTTGGGTTTATAATGTGAATAACTAATCTAGTAATTGCTACTCAGAACAGAAAGCCTTTCAAGTATATAGACTTTAGAGAGGACAATGCCCTGTTTATTAACCATATTTCTTTTGGTAGGAGGGGGTCCGCATGGAAGAAATAGTTGAAGGTTGTACTGGAGCCCTTCACATCCTAGCTCGGGATGTTCACAACCGAATTGTTATCAGAGGCCTAAATACCATTCCATTGTTTGTGCAGGTATGTTGCTTTTAAGTGAGGTGTTCTAGATTCTGTGTGTCAGTAGAATTTCAGGATTTTAAAGATGAGCAAAATATCAGGAAATTAGAGACCAAAATAGGGGCACCAGCATTTAATTTTTCATTTTTCATCTACTATCACCATTTCTAAAACGGCAGTACTGCCCATGCTTCCTGTTCAAAGTATAAAAAATAGAATCTCAATGTGTCATGTCCTTTTAGTTGAATACATTTATGAAAAATTCCCTTCGTTTTTCTTGGGCAGTAGAAGGAGAAACATTGGGACTAGAACCTCAAGAAAGGAAGGAGACTTCCTACTCCACCTTTAGGGTTGCTCAGTTTTGAAGGGACGAAAGCTGGTCTGGGCTGCCAGAGCACAGGTCTCCAGCCACCTCTGGGTCTTCCAAGTTTTAGCTTGAATAAAACTCTGAAGAAAAGGTTCGTAGCTAAAAATGCTCTAGAAAACCACTGCTCCTGAGCATCACTCAAGAACATAAATTTAGAGTTTATGATTTAATACAAGCAGTACAAATACCGTTTACACTCTGAATTGGGAATGTTTACAGTGCAGTGGGGTGCTTGCCATGTTTTAACTTTAGGTTTACTTAGGTTTTGGGTGTATGTTTTCTCCTTAGCTGCTTTATTCTCCCATTGAAAATATCCAAAGAGTAGCTGCAGGAGTCCTCTGTGAACTTGCTCAGGACAAGGAGGCTGCAGAAGCTATTGAAGCCGAGGGAGCCACAGCTCCCCTGACAGAGTTACTTCATTCTAGGAATGAAGGTGTGGGTAAGTAGGAAAGGAACCAGAGCCTTCAGCTTGTGTACAGTGACGCCTCAGCTTTTCCTCAAGGACCTTTATTCCATCCTTCTCCCAGCGACATATGCAGCTGCTGTTTTGTTCCGAATGTCTGAGGACAAGCCACAGGATTATAAGAAACGGCTCTCGGTCGAGCTGACCAGTTCTCTCTTCAGAACGGAGCCAATGGCTTGGAATGAGGTAGGCAGCGTGAGCACGTTTATTTGGCTGTTTGCTAGAGCAGGTATAAGGCGGTCTGTGGTTTCCTCTCAAACCACTCAGTACACGTTCATTTGCACTGACTGTGTCCTTGGCTTGAATATTCATTCTTTACACTCTTTTAGCAACTGCTGTGAGGAAAAACTACAGCTTTAAACAGCCTATTCAGAACAAACAAGTTAGAATTTCCAAGGGAGACAGATGAAAAAGTTAGCAGATTAAAGAACATTTTTCAAAAGGTTGTTAGGAAAGAGGCAGTCTATTAACCACTGTTATTAGTTGGAGGTCGGTTTATCAGTACTTCTTAAAAAATGCTCAATTTTTCACCTACTTTTCTACTTGAATTTCTATTAATTTGTTCAGTATTTGTCCTCAGTACAGTTGTTCATTGAAACAGTAGAACCACCCAGAAAGTTTTTTCAATTATGGTACATAGTCATAAAGTGAATTATATTTGTTTGAATGAATGGAGAGAGATCCTATATATGTTGTTAGGTGGAAAAAAAAATAAAGCAAACTGCCGAACAGTGAGTAGTAGTATGTTCGTTGGCTGTTTAATAGGCAAAATCTTAATATGTTCCAACTTGAGCTCTGAACTTCCTCACCCACTCCCTCTCTCCAGACCGCTCCCTCTCACAGTTAATGGCAACTTCGTTCTTCGAGCTGCGCAGGCTCTAAAAGTCTTTTCATATAACATACGCTGTCAGCAACTCCTTTTGGGGGTAGACACTTTGCCTGTTTTGTTTCCTGTTATATTCCTAGCACCAGGAACAGTGCCTGGCACGTAGTAAGTACTTAATTATCTACTTGTGGAAAGAAGGAATTAGTATTTTTAATACTGTGTGCAATGGGAAAACATGTTTCTCTAGGTATCTTTGAAGGGTAGAGTTTGAAGTATTTCTGTATTGTATACATCTGTACTTCAAAGTAATTCTGCACTTTCTAAGTATTTCTATAATGTTTGAGTTCTTCTTTTCATAATCTGAAAATAAGTATGTGTTCAAAATATTAGACAGTATATATGCTTTGAGTTGAGAATTTTCATTTTGCTTCTCTGCCTTATACCTGTTCATCTAGGCTGCTGATCTTGGACTTGATATCGGTGCCCAGGGAGAACCCCTTGGATATCGCCAGGATGGTATGTATGTGTCTCACATTTCTTGATTATCTCCAGATCAAGCTAAAGGTCCAGAGCTTTATCAAAAGAGCTGGTTTGTTCATCTGGGAAACCAGTGTTGGCAGGAAAGTAGTGGTAGCAATTAAAGGCAGTTCTTAAATTCTAGAGTCAGCAATAGTATCTTTATTGGAGCACAGGGAATTCTGAGCCACACACTGAGCAAGCAGTAGGATCACACCAATAAGTACGTGTCACTACTGCTAGGCCTCTGCAGTACAGTGCAGGCAGGATGTTACAAGTCGCCTGGCTTTTTATTCAGTTTTTTTTGTTCAGAGAACCCATAATACCTGTGTCTACAACCCACCCAGGAAGTGAGAGTATGGAAACGTCTGTCCCCAAGCTCAGCTCTGGGATGGGTATTTACATAGTTATTAGCTTTTCAGAAAACTCTAAAAAATACAATTCAAACCTGGGTAGTGGCGAGTGGAGCATACTTAGGGGTAGACCACTAACAGCTGTAACTATTCATCTTAAATTTATATAATCTTACCTGGTTTTTCCTAGTTAAGAAACCACTAAAGCTTATAAGCTTCTTACCTTGACAGGTACATGTAAATGTTACCCCTTAATATAAAACATAAAAGGTTTCATTGGAAACTGGCACGTTTTCTTTGTACTTTTGTGGGTGTCGCCTGGACTTTCGAACAAATAGATTACAGTTGCCAGACCTCCTTGTTGTTGCCTTCACTTCCCGCCATGACTCCTTGATGCCTAGGTGTCACACACAGTAGATTGCTTGCTGCTGCTGCTCCCCCCCCTCAGGAACCTGTCCCTGCCTGGGTAAATGCCAGGGGTCCAGGACTAGAACCTGCTGGTCTGCCTTTGGTGGAAACAGGCTTTGTGTGGCCTCATGGGTGGCCTGGCACTGGCACTTAGCTGAAGAAAGCCAGAAGTTGAAGAGGTTAGAAAGCAGCGCTTTCTGACAAGCTTGCTGCCCTTGGATGTCCCTAACCTTAGTGTTTCACTTTTATGTCTTCTCTCTCTCTCTCCCCCCCATACCCATTTCGTTGCTACCCCTGACTCTCCTAGATCCCAGCTATCGTTCTTTTCACTCTGGTGGATACGGCCAGGATGCCTTGGGTATGGACCCCATGATGGAGCATGAGATGGGCGGCCACCACCCTGGTGCTGACTATCCAGTTGATGGGCTGCCAGATCTGGGGCATGCCCAGGACCTCATGGATGGGCTGCCTCCAGGTGACAGCAATCAGCTGGCCTGGTTTGATACTGACCTGTAAATCATCCTTTAGGTAAGAAGTTAAAAAAGCCAGTTTGGGTAAAACACTTTTACTCTGCCTACAGAACTTGAGAAAGACTTGGTTGGTAGGGTGGGAGTGGTTTAGGCCTATTTGTAAATCTGCCCCCAAAAAAGATACATTGAGAGGAGATGTCTTGGAACATGTGAATGTTCTCAGATTTCTGGTTTGTTACGTGGTCACGTGTGGAAGTTATTAACTTTAATGTTTTTTGCCACAGCTTTTGCAACTTAATACTCAAATGAGTAACATTTGCTGTTCTAAACATTAATAGCAGCCTTTCTCTCTTTATACAGCTGTATTGTCTGAACTTGCATTGTGATTGGCCTGTAGAGTTGCTGAGAGGGCTCGAGGGGTGGGCTGGTATCTCAGAAAGTGCCTGACACACTAACCAAGCTGAGTTTCCTATGGGAACAATTGAAGTAAACTTTTTGTTCTGGTCCTTTTTGGTCGAGGAGTAACAATACAAATGGATTTTGGGAGTGACTCAAGAAGTGAAGAATGCACAAGAGTGGATCACAAGATGGAATTTATCAAACTCTAGCCTTGCTTGTTAAAATTTTTTTTTAAATATCTGTAATGGTACTGACTTTGCTTGCTTTGAAGTAGCTCTTTATTTTCTTTTTTTCTTTTTCTTTTTGCAGTAACTGTTAGTTTTTTAAGTCTCTCATAGTGTTAAGTTATAGTGAATACTGCTACAGCAATTTCTAATTTTAAAAAATTGAGTAATGGTGTAGAACACTAATTCATAATCACTCTAATTGTAATCTGAATAAAGTGTAACATTGTGTAGCCTTTTTGTATAAAATAGACAAATAGAAATGGTCCAATTAGTTTCCTTTTTAATATGCTTAAAATAAGCAGGTGGATCTATTTCATGTTTTTGATCAAAAACTTTATTTGGGATATGTATGGGTAGGGTAAATCAGTAAGAGGTGTTATTTGGAACCTTGTTTTGGACAGTTTACCAGTTGCCTTTTATCCCAAAGTTGTTGTAACCTGCGGTGATACAATGCTTCAAGAGAAAATGCGGTTATAAAAATGGTTCAGAATTAAACTTTTAATTCATTCGATTGTGTCACCTTCTTTTCCTTGTCACTTAGTGGTTGGCGAGGGTATTAAATTATTTCACTATTTAAGTTGTAATGATGGAAAGAGCCTTACTGCTAGTAGACCGAATTGTTTGTTTGCCAAGCTTCTTTAGCACTTAGCCCTGGGTTAAATTGCACCAAAAGTGTTTCAGCCTTGAACGTTGATTCTGAGCTTGTGTAAGAAGAGGGGAGTCCGTCGTCTCCAACTGAAGGACTCTGGGCTTAGAGCCTATGGCCAAGACTCCTTCATCCCGGCTGCGGCCATGTGTATAATCCTGCCCACGTGACTAAAGGCATCTAGTTCTTTGGCTTTCAGTTTTGTCCTGTGCTGCCCAATAGGCATCCCCGACCCCAGACTCCATCACATGGTTTCATTCCTTTAAGGTAATAATGAAGAATTACTCACCTGGATTTGGACTTCAAGCACCTTCACAGAAGTGTGACTCATTTGGAGCGGGGAATTCCTTCAACTCCACTTTGAACTGATAGTTAAGATGGTTTACCTGCCGATGTTTATCTGAACATATCAGAGAGAACTAGAATGGGCCTTCTTCCATGCTCTCTGCCAGGTGAGCCTGTCATCCTGGTGGTAGGTCTGACAAGCTTAGTTCATCCCTGAGGGCAGAGTCAGTAGACCTGTTTGTTAGAACTTGTGTTTTGGGCTTTAAAAAGCATGGGAGTGTTTTGTGCTTAGGGAGGGCTGTTTGTGATTTACTGTGTATTTAAAAACATGTATTCAGTACCTTTTTGTTGGATGAGGACCCTTTGAGAAAGCTTTATAAATTCTTCCCTGTGGTCTAAGGTGTAATTGGGATTGGAGAGGAAACATTTGTGTACCTGGTGAGGGGGCAGTTGTGCCTCCAGTGCGTGACACAGAGAACCAAGGCAGCATTGCATGAACTATTAGGTAGGCTAGAGCTATTGGTTAGAGTGAAGATCTCTAGTGAGTTCAGCTTTTAACATAAAGAACCACAGCAGGGTGTTTTTTTTGTTTTTTTTTTAAACCAGAAAACATTTCAGAGCTTTGCCTAAAATCATTATGGTTTTGAAGTTCCATGTAAAAACTTTATATGAGGGCCTCCCCCCTGGTGGCGCAGTGGTTGAGAGTCCGCCTGCCGATGCAGGGGATACGGGTTCGTGCCCCGGTCCGGGAGGATCCCACATGCCGCGGAGCGGCTGGGCCCGTGAGCCATGGCCGCTGAGCTTGCGCGTCCGGCAACGGGAAAGGCCACGACAGTGAGAGGCCCGCATATCGCAAAAAAAAAACCCAAAAAACTGTACTTAGGGAGTTGTTGCAGGATTGGAGAAGAAAGGTGATGATTTTCTTTTTATACCTGACCCTATTCCCATCAATGTCCTTTATTAGTATGTTATCTCACGATCATAAGTAAAAATTCAGTGCTCAATTGTTATTTTTTCCCGCAACTCTCTTGTATTATTTCCACAACATCTTTTATGATTAGAACCTGCAGTAAAACTTTAGAGGCTGCTGTTTTGACTTTAACTGTGGGGTGTATGTTTGATGATATACAGAAAGCAAAAGCGTGGACACAAATATTTTCCAATGGAATATATGTAAAGAATTTTTTATAGGAAAGATTAAGAGCTTCCATCTCTTGACAATGACCCAAACCAAAAAAAAAAAAAAAAAAAAAAAAAAAACTTTATATGAAGGTTAATCTGATTCAGCAAAAGTAGTTCTGCAATGCACTTAGAAGGACAAAGAGCCAAGAACGGCAGAGACGCCTGTGAAGAATAAGATGATAGGAGGACTTGTTCTGTCAGCTGTCAAGGCCTAAGTGTAAAGCTAGAGCTATAGTTAAACTTACAGTCATTGACACGTGTGTAGAAGTGTACACTAAGGGAACAGAATAAGATGAAGACAGGAGACACTTTAAGGGTAGCATTGGAGGTCAGTGTGGAAAAGAGTAGAACAGTTAGGTAGCCATTTGGATAAAACTGAAATTAATGCAAGAAAAAAATCCATGATCAACAAACTATCAAAAGTCCTCACTGGAAGCCCATGTGTCCAATAATTTGCAAGAGAACGGCCGCAATGCAGTGAAAGACGACTACAGCTTCAACACAATAGTATGGGTATTATCTCAAATATGATACCGAACAAAAACACGTCACAAATGCATGCCGTAGGACTGCACTGGTGCAAAAAGAAAGGCAGGCTGTTTTAAGGAAATCATCCAGAGATAGTAAAACTAGATTACCACAAAAAAAAACCAGAATAGTGGTTACCTGGGGATGGAGGTGCGTAGGACATCTGATCCCATTGCAGTGACCACCAATGAGCTGAAAAATGAAGCTTTTCCATGTTGGAGGAGGTGTTCTAGACACGAGGCTTTGGTCTGGTTATTGGAATCTTTGACAGTGAAAGATCTTGAGATAAACATGTCTTGATTAGTGTAATCAAAACAGAAGATCCGAATCGTGCCGTATGGTTTGTAAAGCAGCAGAGAGCTGAGTTGCTCCACTGCAGTTGTTTTGTTCTACTAGGTGAGAATCTAACAGCCTTGCCTTGCTTGATTGAGTGAACACCCATCAAATGCAGTTAGAAAATAATGCGGGCGGGAGGCTGAAAAGGTAGTGCTTCCTTTTTCTTATTCGTCAACGTCCTGTGTGGTGTCCACTCCACCTCCCCACCTCATGAGGAATCTACAGGGGGGTGACCGGCCTCCTCTGCCACCTCAGCATCAAGCCTCTGAGAGGCCAGAGGCCAGGTGTGAAAGGCCAGCCTTCTTCCAGGTCACATCAAGACTCCACACCGCCCTGGTCCTTATTCTGGGCCAAGGCTGGTGCTTGTTGCCCCTTGCCTCCCTCGGCCTCCTGGAAGCTTGAGGCTGTTGGTGCCAAAGCCTCCTAAAACTGAGTCTTGTCCCCACCCCACTCCAGACAGGTCTCCCCAGGGACCAAGCCTCTTCGGGCTTTTGTAGCTTCTTGCCGCCCCCTTCCCTACCAGTTCCCCTCCTGAGGCCCCTCCTACCTCAGCCCCTGCATAAGCCCATTTATCAGAGAGATTTATTTCTACATATTTTTCTGTTGTTGGAGGAGGGAGAATAAAGGGCATTTTGCTTCAAGTGGAGGCAGGAGAGGCCCAGGTCCTCTCACTGTCACTCACTGTGGACAAAAGCCTTAGCCACCAGAGCCTCCGTTTCTGAGCTGTCCCACGGGGTTAAGAGCTGCCCTGCATTCACAGGATTGACCTCAGAACCTCATGAGGTCATAGGGGAAACCTCGTGACCGTATGGGAAACCTGAAGCGCTAGACAAGCCCAAAGGACCGCCAGTCAGTAAATTCTTGTTGCTGCGCCCTGCAGAGCCACTTACTTAGCTGCCGGATGACTGTCAGTTCCTCTCAGGATACCCTCCAGGCCAGAGTCACCCCAGATAGATCTTCACAGAGGGACAGCTCACTGGGCACCTACTCTCAGGCTGTAAGTTGACGCAAGGTCTCAAAGCTTTGGGCCTGTCGTTAGGGAAAG